TCTCCTCCATTCTCTTCTCGGGATCCTGGGCACACACGCACACGTACCTGGTGTGAGTTTAAGCCACTGGGTCTGGCACTCGAACTGTGGTTGGCTACATGGGAGTCCAGTGACGTAGCCATTATGCTAACTGCCAGTCCCTGTTATGGGTCTATCCGGCCTTTCTTCTGGTTCAATCTTGGTAAGTTATCGTGTCCAGAAGCCTGTCCATCTCATCTAGGTGTCTTGTTTATTGGCGTGTAGTCGCTCATAGTGTCCTCCGATGATACTTGTATTTCTGTTGTGTCCATTGTAATAACGCCTGTTTCCTGGCTGATTTGATCTGTCTGGTTCCTTTCTCTGTTCTTGATTAATCTAGCTAATGGTGTGTCAATTTTGCTTATCTTCTCAAAGAACCCACTTTTGCTTTCATTTATTTTCTGTAGAGTTCTTTAATTATCTATTTAATTTATTTTGGCTCCAATCATTATTTCTTCTCTCCCAGGTGTTTTTGGGATTTTTGCCGTTTCCCAGTTCCCGGAGTCGTGTCGTTAGGGTGTTTGCCACCTGTTTGCTCTTCTCTCGTGGGTACGGCTTGCTGTGAGCTACCTTCTTCTGCCTGCTTTTGCTGTGTCCCGTAGGTTATAAACTTGTTCTTCATTGTCATTGGTTTCTGTGAACCTTTTGGTTTCAGTCTTAATTTCTTCTGTAGTTTTGAAGTCATTTGAAAGTAGGTTGTTGGGACCAGCAGTTAGTGTATATGGCTGTTTTGCTGGGCTCCCACGTTGTCGACTGCGGGTCCCGGACCCGGTAGCTTGGACTCACGCTGGGTGTGTGTGCGTGCATGCCCAGGATCCCGAGAGGAGAATGGAGGAGAAGGGATTGCGGCGTGGCCATACCCCCGGGGGGTGATTTCTCACGTTCTGTTTCTCTGTCTCTCTATCTTTCTGGCGAGCGCATGCACCCTATAGCAAAAAAACCTCTCCAAAGAAAGAAAAAAGAAAAAAGAAAGGTTGTTTAGTTTCCATGTGTTTGTGAATTTCCTAGAACTCTTTCTATATTGATTTCAAGTTTGATTCCATCGTGGTTGGGAAAGATACTCGATATACTTTGTATACCTTTGAATTTGTAAAGGTTTGTTTCGTGTCCTATCATGTGGTTAATTTTCGAAAATGTTTCATGTGGGGTTGAGAAAAGTGTAGTTTGTGGTAGTTGGGTGAAACATTCTGTAAATGTCAAGTTCATTTCATATATGGTATCGTCTAGATCGTCTCTCTCTCTCTTCCTCTCTTTTTTCCATAGATGATCTGTCCAGAGGAGTCTGTGGGGCGTTGAGATCCCCTCCGATTGCTGTGTTGCAGTCTGTCTCCCCCTCGATCTGGCGGTCTCTCTGCGATGTACTTAGGTGCTGCAGTGTGGGTGCACAGATATTTACCAGTGTTCTGTCTTGTTGGCGAACAAGTCCTTCTGGCACTGTGTATGTCCTTCATCTCTCCCTGTGTCCTTGACACTGAGGAGTGTTCTCCATTCTCTCCGGTGTTTTTTGTTCCCCCGTCTCTATTTGTCTTTCTTTAGTTATCCTGATCCCACACGCCCCTCAGCACTTCCTGTAGAGCTGGTCTGTTGTTGGTAAATTCCTCTAGTTTTTGTTTATCTGAGCATACTTTTATTTCTTCCCATTTGAAGGATAATCTTGCTGGATATAGTATTCTCGGTTGATACTGTTTTTCTTCCAATGGTTGAATACATTTTCCCTTGTTTTGAGTACATTCTTTCCTTGTCTGCATTGTTTTAGTTGAGAGGTCTGACATTAGCCTAATGGGATACCCTTTATAACTTGAGGTTTCTGTCTTGCCATTTTTAGAATATTGTCTTTGTCTTTAATTTTTATCAATCTGGCTATGATGTACCCGGGGAAGATCTTTTCGTGTTGATTTTATTTGGGGTCCTTTTTATTTCTTGGGTCTAAATTTCTCATTTCTCTGTATTTGGAAAATTTTCAGATAGTATTTCATGAAAGAGGTTTTCCATTCCTTTAGTGGATTCTTCAGGGTGCCCGAGCTCATTTCCCGGCCAGACGGTCCCATCTGGGCAGTGGGCGACGGGGTACCCAGGGCGTGCTGCCGTGCCCAGTCTGCTCTGTGACCTCATTTTGGTCCTGTCACTGCAGAATCTATTCCACAAGATAGGACGCTAGAATGGAAGCAGGCCTTCCAGTGCCTCTGTGGCCAGCCCGGAGCGTCCCGCCTTGGCTTTCCTCCAGGACACAGGGGGACCTGAAGTGGTCTCAGACCCCCGTGTGAGACCGCCTTTGTCAACCTCAACAGTTACCCTCTTCTGGCACGGACGTGTGGCAGCCAGCTTCTGCTCAGGTGGCTGCGGGGGCATGTCCCTCCCAGGTTGGAGCTTGTGGTTGAGAAGTAGCGTCCGTGCTCCTCTGAGCCTTGGGAGAGGTGGTCACACGGCGACTGGGAGTGACAGGCTCCTCTCAGAATCTACAAGTGCTCGAAACCCGTCCAGACCCAGGGTTCACACATCACGCCTGCAACTGCAGCTCGGCCTTGAATGCGGCCTCTGTCCCTGACTAGAACACAGTTGTCATTGCCCCTGAAGTGACAGAGTCACCAAGTGAGCAGGCTCTGCAGCCCGACCTTCCCGGCGGCCCGGAGTTGGGGTGCTGCTGGGCAGGGCTCCTAAAGCCCCCGACGGGCATCCTTGGCAGCAGACAGGCCGGGCCCCTCGCCGCCGCGGTCCTCCCGGCTCCAGCCATGCAGCCGTGGGGATGGCGCCGTCAGGGCAGGCAGGTGAGGAAGGGCGGCCTTCCGGCATCGCTTCTGCTCTCTGCGCTCACGCTTTCCCTTCGGGAAACGCCACAGGCCCGTCTTTCAGTGCAGGCTGCTTGGTCTCCACACGGCCGAGGGGTTTTGGAGGCTGCCCGGCTTCGTGGCCACACGTGGGGTCGCCAGAAGAGTCAGGCCGCATTTTCCTGTTTTTCTGAGCAGAAGTGTCCTGCTTTCCCCGATGACCCACGTACCCAGCGGCTTGGAGGATGTGAGGCACTCTTGAGACGAGCCGTTTAAGTGGGCTCCTGGTACTTCCTGTAAATGCAGCTTTTCTTCTCGCGGCCTCAGAGCCCTCCGCCGCTGCGTCGCTGGCCTGGCCCCCTCTTCAGAGGAGCCCTCCAGGGATGTCTGTCTTTTACTGATTTTGGCCAGGGTAGCTTCTGGGCTTACAGAACTGTGGCCGAGACAAGTGCAGTGTGGAGAGGCATGGATGACAGCGGTGGATCGAGTAACGGGTGGGCCGTGCGTGGACCGACGGCAGCGTGGGTTCTGACGTGGGCCTGCCTGACGCCCCGTGGGATTGCAGCGCAGCCGCTCACGGGGAGGGTCTCTGCCCACTTCGCGGTGCTGGCTGCTGTCCCTGGTGCTGGCATCATTGCCTCAGGTCCGCCTCCACCCTCAGCAGTACTAGCTGGACTCCTCGTGTGCGGAGTCCGCGGTAGGGTCCAGCTCACGGGATCCAGCTGGCACTGGCGTGACACTGACTTGGCGTGGCGCGGCGATGGCTGCTAACAGGAGAAGCTTTGTCCTGCCCCTCCTGCAGCGAGGCCTGGTTCCCGGGGCCCTGCCCTGCCCTGTGTGCTCCTTGGCCTGTCTGTAGGACCCGGCCTAGAGAAGAGGGGGAGTGTCTGGCAGAGGCGGGATCAACAGTGCGGCCACGTCTCTCTCATTTAAAATGAGTTTGGACCGTGGCCCTCGCCAGCTGCTGTGTCAGTTCAGGAAGTACTCACGTGACCACCGGCCCGGACGGCAGACGCGCTGCAGACTTCGGTGTCCCCTGCAGCCCGGCACCTAGAGAAAGGGCTTGCTTTGGGTCCCGCAGGCGTGCTCGGACTTCGGCCACGCTGCCGGTCTTCTCAAGAGGTCCGGCGCAAGTTGCCCACAGTCTCTGGGTTGTGGCTCCTCAGCTGTCATTGAAGGGAACGTTACCACATTTCTCTAACGGGAGTTTTGTGAGTTGCAAATGAGCGAGTGTATGTGGAAGCCCTTTGGGAGTAGAAGGGTGCTCTATGCACTGTTTTGTAAAACGAGTTGAATGATCTGTTCCGTTACTGCTGTGTACAGTAGGCTAGCTCAGAGTGTCTGAAGCCATCCTGATGCAGTGGCACATGGGTGGCAGCCAGGGGAAGGACAAGATTCCTGGAAAATGTGCACGTCTCAGAAACACACAGGAACTGGGACTAGCAGTTGGTGTAGGGCTATGTTGCTGGACTCCCATGTAGGCGACTGCGGTTCGAGTCCCAGACCTGGTGGCTTAAACTCACACTGGGCACATGTGCGTGCATGCCCAAGATCCTAAGAGGAGAATGGAGGAGAAGGGATTGCGGCATGGCCATCCCCCGGGGGGTGATTTCTTGCTTTCTGACTCTCTCTGTCTTTCTGGCGAGTGCACATGCCCTATAGCAAAAATCTCTCCAAAAAAAAAAAAAAAAAAAAAGAAAAGAAATAAACATACAGGAAATTTATATTTTTTGGCTTTGTTTTCGTATCTTTTCCATATAGATTTTTTAAAAAAATTTTTTGAGGGATTTTTGTTATAGTGCATGCACTCCCTGGAGAGACAGGAAGTGAGAGATCAGCCCCAGGGGGATGGCCATGTTGCATTCTCTCCTCCATTCTCCTCTTGGGGTTTCGGGCACACACATATGTCGTGAAGAGCCGGATCCAGGACTCGAACTGTGGTTGACTACCTGGGAGTCCAGCAACGTAACCACTATGCCATCTGCTGGTCCCTCCCATGTAGATTTAATCATTCTATTAGAGCCTAAGAGTAGACTTTTACTTCAGAATCCAGTAATCAAATCTAGCTAGTAGTCTGTTTACCCCAGTGTTGTGTATATGTAAAGAAATAAAATTTAAAGTTAGTAATGCTTATTTTTTTCTTTTAAAAAGTGAGTATGTTGATTAGCTTGATTTCACAAATTTTCCTCATAATTGTTATTTTGTTTTTGCTTCTAGGGTAAAAATCATGGTAAGAAACTTCGGAACTACTATGCAGCGAATAGCTGTCCCCCTCCCGCCAGGGTGAGCAGCGTGGAGCCTGCAGCCGCACCTGTTCCTGGCCCTCCACAGGTGAGACCGTGCAGGCGAGGCAGTGAGGGAAGCTGTACCGGGCACGCATGGTCGCGCACGGCATTTGCTGTCCGTGAATCCACCAGAGTACGCGTGGTCAGTCTGACAGGTACCCCTGGGAAGTTCTGCTCGGCACTCCCAGCCCTTCCACGCGTAGCTCGGGGTTCTGTGCAAGCCAGAACGCACGGGCACTGAGATTGCTCCTTGGCTTTGGTTATGATGTGTGGATATTGAAACAAGTACCCTTACATGAGTCTTGATGTCTTTCTCAAAATGTTGGATTAAATGGCCCTGAGTCTAGGCTAAGCCATGAATAGAAGGAGAAATAGGAAAACATTCTTTGTTGTGGTTAATCCTGTTTATGTTGTACTTTGTCTACCAGTTGCAAGGTTAGTTTCTGGAGACTGACCTATTTATCTCTGCAGAGACCCAGCTTAATTCATTCTGGACTTTAGACCAAGAAGTGCTTGAGAGACAGGATAATTGTACTTTTTGAAAGACAGCAAATAATTTAGGCAAGATATTCCTATGCTTTAATAGCCTCTGACATACAGATTCGTCTTCTTCACCTGGCTCTGAAGTATTATTTGTCTACAGAACAGTGCAGTGGCCGAGTAATAGGGACAGCAGAGTGCCCTGGCTCAGGCTAATATGCGTCTAATGGTGTTTTATTGAAGGCTGTGACTAGGGTGGGGCAGAGGGGTACTTGACTTAGATGCAGAACTTTAGGGGCAGCCAAAACACTCAGCGTTCAAGGTAAATATTTTAATGTTGTATTTTAAAGATTCGACGGATGTAAGAAAATTCAGTGGTGAACAAAACATCAAGAGGTTAAATGTATGATAGGTATTTCTTATTTTTCGTCTTGTTTTTTTTTTTTTTTTTTTTCCTCAGAGAGAGATTTTCACTACAGGGTGCGTACACTTGGTGGAGAGACAGAGAGACAGAAAGCAAGAAATTACCTCCCAGGGAGGATGGCCAAGTTGCAATTTCTTCTCCCTTCTCCTCTCAGGATTTTGGGCATGTATGAACACATGCCTGATATGAGTTTAAAGCCTCCGGGTCCAGGACTTGAACTGCGGTTGATTATGTGGGAGTCCAGCGACATAGCCATTATGCCATCTGCTGGTCTCTTTTTTTTTTTTTTGTTTTGTTTTTTTTTTTTTTTCCTCAGAGAGAGATTTTCACTACAGGGTGCGTGCACTTGGTGGAGAGACAGAGAGACAGGAAGTGAAAAATTACTCCTTGGGGGGATGGCTACACCACAGTCCCTTCTCCTTTCGCAGTTTTGGGCATGCACACACATGCACCCGGACCGAGTTTCAAGCCACTGGGTCTAGAACTTGAACTGTGGTCGGCTACATGGGAATCCAGCTCCTTAACCACTCTATCGCCTGCTGGCCCGGGATTTCTTATTTTTCTGTTGCCTCAGGTTGCAGTATATTGGCATGACACGGCTACAGCCTGATCCTGTCTGTATTTAAAATTCTGAAATTTTGTGCATCTTTTTTTTTTGATTAAATGGTATTAGTATTTACAAATTTTATTAAAATATTTATCTTGGTTACTGGAATGTTTTGATGTTCTGTCCCCAAGGCAAGTCAGTGTGTCACTTGCTCCATTCTGGTCCTGGCCCAACTTCATTTAATGCTCAGAGGTGTCGGCCTCGTTGCCTAAAGCTTAGTTATGGGTCAGTACCAGCACCACACTGAAGTTTGCTAGAAGCTCAGGGAAGCTAAGGGAATTTCCGTGGTTTAAGCATTTTGCAGAGTGGTGGAACAAGGATTTCTTTTGCGCTTAGACCTCTTTCCTAACCACCATGGCCTAATTTTACTTCCCTGAGTGTGTTTTAGAACTGAAAGGATGGCCAGCAATTCCAGCTGTTTCTCCACCCTCGGATTTGTGAGGAAAATAGATACATGAAAAGTGGAATCAGAGAGAGGAAGGTACCAGCCTTCACGGGACGGGTTTCCGAAGGCTCTGTAGAACCGGGTGGGCGTCCTCACCCTCTGGGGAAACAGCCCAAGCCTTTCACAGAGCAGCCCTTTGGGGTTTTTGAAGATAGCTATCCTGTCTCCAGAAAATCTTCCCATTTCCAGTGGAACAGTGCTGCTTTCTTCAGCTGTCCCTGGTTTTGTTTTCCAGAATCTTTACCCTGTATATGATTCTCCTTTAACAAAGCTTCAGCTAACCTATCAGTCTTGACCAAGTGCCCATGACCGTCCAGGCAGTCTTGGGTTTGCCGTCCTTGGCAGACTGTCCCCATGCTGGGTATAGTGTAGGTCTGCTCGTAGTTCCCCGGTTATTTGTACGAGAGCTGGTGGGCAGACTCTTTGGGGACCGGGCTCTTGGTTAGAGACATGGCTGTGGGCCCTGTCTAGAGCAGAGCAGGCAGCAGGCCCGTGGGTCTTCAGTAAGTGCCTGCTCTGGGACTGAGCGTTCAGGCCTCACCTGTTCTTGACTGCTCTAAATCTTTCATGCTGCGTATTGAACTCATTTACAAATTTCTTCAGTGGAGCAAGGAGGCATTCAGTTATAAGTGATGATAATGTAAAACCGTGGTCAAGTGTCTCCCCGCCTGTTTCTCCTCCTTCTCCCTGGAATGAATCGTTTCCTTTCCTTAGACAGCCGGGTCCTGTGGCCATCTGCTTGTTTCTCACCCGCAGAGGCCGCTGCAAGGAGACGGGAGGAATAACCCCACTTTTTAACCTTGTTCTTTGCGTGTCCCTGGTGCCAGGCGGGCTCCTGTAAGCCGGGCGGCAGAGTGATCCTGGCCACGGAGAACGACTACTGCAAGCTCTGTGACGCCTCCTTCAGCTCCCCGGCCGTGGCTCAGGCTCACTACCAAGGCAAGAATCACGCCAAGCGGCTGCGGTTGGCGGAAGCTCAGAGTAACTCGTTCCCGTAGGTATTGCCGTCTTCTCTGGGGCCAGGGTGTTCTGGGAGGCCAACTGCGGAGAAGGGTTGAAAGGGGTCCTCGTTGAGTCTTACTCTTTAAATCTCTTCTCCAGGGACTCCTCAGAGGTGGGCCCACGGCGGGCCCGGAAAGAAGGGAATGAATTTAAGATGATGCCTAACAGGAGGAATATGTACACGGTGCAGAGTAACTCAGGTACGCACAGCCCTCGGCTCCATCTGCACCTGGGCCTGGTTACCCACTCCGAGGTGCCAGGGAGCCCCGAGAAGTCAGCGTTAGTCATCGTCCTGCATCCGTTCCGTGGCTTTCTGGGCGGTGCTTATTTCAGGTCTTGTGTGCTTGTCTTCTGTCTGGTGTATTTCTTTTGGTTTGGTTTTAATCAGTCTGTGTTTTAGGGTCTGTTTCCTCTGGTGTTTCAGCTGACGAGTGTAAAGCGTGTTGTGAACACGGGCTAGTTGGTTTAAAGCTGCTCCACGTGCAGCTCCATTGCTTGGGGGAGTAGAAAAGAGCAGAGCAGTGGGAATAGCGGGGTCGTGAGCTGGACTCACCGGGGCTCACAGAACGCACACCCTGCACCGTGACCGGGAGACTTCCAGTCAGCCGATGCCCAGTGGAACCCAGACACGTGTGTGTTTTGAGAATGCTGCTTTGGTAATTCTGATGTACACATCCAATTTAGAACTAGGCCTTTTTTTTTTTCTTCTGCTTTGAAATGAGGGAGAAAGAAAGAGAGAAAGAGAGAGAGACGGATGTTGTGGCCTAGCCTCCAGGTAGCTAGCCCACGCTGCACGTACCCACCTGGCCCCTGTGGGTCGTGTGGACGACCAAACGCAGGTCCTGGGCTGGGCCTAGAACCACCCCCCCTTTTTTTTCCTTTAAGAATTATTTTATAAATAAATTATTTAACTTTATTTATTTATTTTTAATTTGATCAGAGAGAGACAGAGAGTAAGAGCTAGAGAGAGAGAAATTGAGAAGGCAAGAAAGCAAACCACCAGGTCCAGGACTCGAACCGTGGTCGGCCATGTGGAAGTCCAGTGCCCTTAGCCACCACGCCACCTGAACCATTAGTTAATAGGAATGTGTCCTGCCTCCTCTGTTCGCCTTGCAGGGAGAGCAGGCCTGAGTGGTCCCTCAGCTCCCACCTCTGTCAGCGTCCGGCATGCTCACTTGCTTTTACAAACATTGCTGAGATCAATGTCTTTGTTGGTAAATCTCTGAGCAAAAATCCTCAATACATTTTTTTTTAAGCATAGTTCTTGGATCAAAAGGTTAGCATAATTATAAGACTTTTGATATGAAGCTTAGAAATTAAAGTGCCTTAAAAATTGTATTTACTTTTTAGTGAGATGATCATTTAAAGATAATATTTTGCTCTACAGTAACCTAGTTGTGGAATCATTTTGTTCTTTTAGATTGAACATGTATGAACTTGTAATTTTAAACATTCATTACCTTCACCCTCAGGCTAAGCGCCCTCGCGTCTTGTCCTTTGAGTCTGGTGTGACAGGGCGGTTCTGTCACTCTCGGTACGCTTGAATGCCTTTCCTTCTCTCCCTCCAGCGGGTCCTTACTTCAGCCCTCGCTCCCGGCAGAGAATCCCGCGCGACCTGGCCATGTGCGTGACCCCCAGTGGCCAGTTCTACTGCTCCATGTGCAACGTCGGGGCTGGTGAGGAGGCGGAGTTCCGGCAGCACTTGGAGAGCAAGCAACACAAGAGTAAGGTGTCAGAGCAGCGGTACCGGAGCGAGATGGAGAACCTGGGCTACGTGTAGTCACGGCCGCACTCGAGCAGCGTCCTGCCTGGTGTCTGCCTGTCACCCCGCCTGCTCTGTGGTCCTTCGATACGATACATTCCTCTGCTTAATGTCCCACCTGTGCCCTGCAGTGGCACCGCGAGCTGTCGGAACCGGGGAGGGGAATGTGCTGCCCAGGTCAGAAAGCTTGTCGGGGACCGTCCAGCTGCGTAGAGCCTATGACCTGTCTACCCGACAAGAGCGAAGTCTTGTCTTGGCTAAGTTCCGTCGACCAGTAGCCTGATCCGTTAGACCCGTGACTGTTCAAAAGTTTCATTTTCTTTTGCAATTTTAATTTTATGTACTGTTAAATAAAGAGTTGCATTGTGTTCTTACTTCAGATCGCCTTTGAAACAGGTAAGCAGAGGCTTCCGTTTCCCAAGGCTTCACTGGGTCCCCCGGTGGAGCATGGTCAGTGGGTACTGGGTCCCAGCTGCCTCAGGGCCTGCTCGGGCAGGATTTCCCTGTTACACCCAGCGCTGAGATGCAGGTCTCCTGGAACTCAGCTCAGTACACGCCTGTGCTTCCAGGCAGCTGGCCGTCGCTCCCAGTTGTGGATTGCACACATTTAATTGCCACCTCCTTCCCTCCACTTTCAAAATTTTTTTCTTAGTTGAATCAACTTGTCTAACAAGCTTATTTTCCTGCCCCAGCTGTGCTGTGAATTTTTCAAGTCTTATATTCGAATACCTGAGTTTAAGAAGGATTTGATTAAAAAAATATTTTTAGCTGAGTTTAGGACCTATAAAGATGTATTTGACTTTTCAAAGTTATGTCTTCATTGATAGTAACACATACTTCTGTTACGATGTTAACTAGTTCAGAGCTCTCGATATTTGGTTTTGGCAGACTTTCAAAATAACCTGGACCTTCTGTTTAACTTACAGTCTCCTCTGTCCTGCCAGTCCGTTGGCTGTTCTGAAAGATCCCATCACCTGGTGTTTTCATAGAAAAATTTTTTAAAAAGCTAATCACATTTCGGCATCATCATTGCCAGTAGAAAAATATATTAACTTTGTTTTTATTCTTCATAATTTGGCTTCCTTGAGGATACTGAGAATATATTATAGATTACTTTGATATGTGATAATTATGACAGTATTATTCTTGCTTTTTGTTTTTAAAATAAGTTATGGTGTATGCCTAGACTAACTCCTGGAGTCTCCTGTGCCCTTTCAGCACCTGCACCCACCTGCCTGCTGACCGACATGGGTCAGACCGCTGGTCTTCCCTCCGCCTTTGGACAAGCCACGTTCTCCAGGAGGGTTATGTAGAGTATCATGAATTCATATTTGACTGTTTACGTTATTAATTGAAAGTAAAACTCCTTTTTTTCCCTTGAAAATTGTATAAGCAAATAGGAGGGAGAAGGAAAATTAGATTACCATCCCCTTTCTGTACTACTTTGGAACAATTTTTGGACCATCTCGACCCGTATTCAAAAATCAGTTTAGTGATTAACTTCTGGTTTAGAACTTCTAGTATAGTATCAAGTTACTTTCTTCTGTTAAAGTAGCGATTAATTGAAAAGTATATTTCATTGGTAATTTTTTTTCTCCCTGAAATAGAAGAACGAAATAATGTTCTGTTGAAATTCTACTCAGACCTGTTATTTCGAGGTGTTATGAAGCCTTTGCAGTAATATACAGAGTACAGTTGATTGAGGGAGTTTAAGGTTTATTTTATTGGCCAGTAGGTTACTCATTTGCTGCTAAGTACAGTTTTTTGGTAGATTTTGATATCATAGTGCTGGCCACTCGGTTCTGTGGTTCCTTAAAAATCTTATTTTCTCTTTCTCTCTATAGGTATGGGTGTACGTACATACAGACATGCACCCACATCCACATGTAGAACTCTATTTTTAATGACAGCATACATATATGGGTTTATGTGACACCACAGAAGATTTAAGTGAAACCTTATTTCAGATAACATTAAAAGATTGTGGGTATGAAGTTACATTTTGTAAAAGTGGTGCTCTCCACTCAGTTTTTCCTTTGGAAACAGATTTAAGGGAAGGGGCCTTCTCTCTGCCCCACTTAACAATTTTATTATACTGTATACATACGAGAAGCGGTGGACTTAAGGGCTTGATGTTTCTCAGGCCTGCGTATTCAGGGTTCCAGTTCCCAGTGCCCGTAACGGACGTTACGAATGCATAAGCGCATTTTCTTTAAAGAAAGAACTTAGATTTATAGTGTTATTTCTTACTTGCTCTATTTCTTTGCACTAAAAAGCTATGTGTTTGTTTGTATGACACTTTAGTACCATATTGCCTACAAGAACTCAATCTGCTCCTTAATTTCCAAATTCTGGGGAGTTGGTACCTTCCAGGATCATTAATAGAGGTTACCTGCACATCTGGGGAAACATCACGAATCCCTATGATGACAAGCTGCATTTCGGGGTGGTTCCCTTGTAGTATTTTCTTGTTCACGGGTAGAACAAAGGGTGGCCGCAGTTGTCAGGCAGGAGGTGCCCAGGTGGCCACTCCTGTGTGTGGTCAGTTTCTGTGTTCACTCTCTGAATTCGGTGTCGTCCCCCCTCTGAGTGCGCTGTTGTTGCTTTGGAGTCTGTGACTCACGGTCCCTGTGGGTCTCCCTTTGTGAAGTCCAGCCGTGCTCTGTGATGTGCCCCGGGAGTCCTGGTAGCATCTTCCATGTGCTGTGTGCAAGAGCGGCAGAGGCTTACCTGGGGAAGCCAGGACTTGTAACTAGGTGTCGGTGAGCAGCCGAGAGGACTGGCCTCAACGTCTCTTCTCAGTGAAGATCTTTGTGTAGTTGGCATTAAAAACCAGTGTTGAAAGATAGCAACTAGAAACTTCATTGAGCGCAAGAAGCTGTGAGGGAAAGTTCGTGTTTGAATTGTAGGATTGGGCTGAGTGTGCCTTCAGTGTCTCTGAAAGCTCAGTCACAGAACCGTGTGTGCGGGAAGTCCTCGTTGGTGTCGACCTCGTGCCCCGTCCTGTCACTTGTGAGCGTGTGCATGCCGTTGGTCGTGTCCGTCCCTGTGTCTCATTGCACTGACTTGGCAAGGTGACTCATTTTTCTTAGCACTATTCATTCTGAAAAAGTCTCCCACGTCTTCCTCACTGCTTCCCCTTGTAATTAGTTGGTAAACTTTGAAAACCATTTGGGATGTTTGAACCCCTGAGCCTGAATGAAGAAGCTGGCCGAGATCACCCCGAAGTCCCTCTGACTCGGAAGGCTGACAGAAAGCACGGGGTCTCTGACCTCGTCTCTGCAGAACTCTGCTCGCTTGGAGCTGCCTGTTGACGTGTGCATGAGGATAAAGGAGAAATGTGTATGCGTGCACATGTGTGTGCACGTGTGTGGTTAAAGCCTTCCCTGCAGGTGGTTCTAAGGATTAGTGGGGGCATTTAGGACCCGGTTCCTCCTGAGCTGGCTGGGACAGTGAGCATCGACAGGTGGAGGGCTGACAATGACACGTGACGTGGGTCTTGTTGGCTTCAGGGCAGACATGTGACTTTGACAGGATTGTCTACAAAGAGGCCTGCATGTGGCAGACCGGGAATCTCGCCTGCTGTTTCCTTAGCGTCAGGACTTGGGGCGTGCCCTCCCAGAGCTGAGACTCGCGCCAAGGGCAGCAGCGCTCTGTCGTGCGGGTGACAGTAATGTCCTAACATACTCGACCTTAACGACTGCTCTTTCCTTACCAGCCAGGAGTTCTGTGGATCATAAAAAGTATTTTGTTGTTGCTTTTGTGTTTTGGCAGGGGAAATCCTATGACTGTGAACCGTACCCACCGCCTGGTTGGGTGGACAGATAGCTGCGCATAGCTTCTCATGAGGTGTTTGACTTCCCTTCCCGTACTGATGGGTGGTCACTTGTAAACTCCCATCTGGGTAGCTACCAAAAAGCGTACTGGCTTCCGGCCCGTGGCGTCTCCAGCCCTGCAGTATGAGTGCCTTTAGCAAGTGTTAGCGTCCCACAGAGAGCTGGGGGGTGGCCAGGACCGAATTAGTGCCCTCAGTCTCCATTCATAAACCGGAGCTCGAAATAGCAAAGGTCTGTAGAATTCTCTTCTACACCTTTTTTTTCCTTTTTTAATGCAGTCTCAATATCCATAAAATGTGTCATCATTGGTCAGGAATCACACACCCTTAAAGAGGGGCCAGTGGCCTCAGGCTGGTAACAGCCCAGGCTGCTTTTCCCCGAGGTCTGTGTTACATTTGTATTGAGTGAACGGAAGGGTGGTGGAAGGACAATTGGACACTGAAATTTAGAAACGCTCTTTAGGGGACTTTCTCACATGTGTCTTTGCTGTAGAGAGGACAGAATTATGTATTTGCAAATACAGCCTTTAGAGAGACCGGCATAGCAATTAGTAATTGTGTTAACTCGGCCCTTCATGAAAAGATGAAGTTCACAAATCAGGTTTGAGGGCTTTTAGAGCTAAATTTTTCCTACTTCAATGACATCTTTCAGTTGCCAAGTACATAGAATCTTCAAATATACTGGTAAGTTAATTTTATTATAGAACGATCTTAATTCTTTCTAACATTTTGTAATGAAAAATTTCAAACACATCCAAAATTGAAAATGTTTTGCAGTGTACCTCCTGCTGGAGCCTGCTGTCATTTTCTCATGCTTCTATTATCATGTAGCTACCCACCTGTCCATCCCTCTGTCGTTCCGAATGTTGGACAATACGCATTCCAGCAGAAATTTCAGACAGTGCACTTCCCCTAAACGTGGCGTGAGTGATGCTAGGCTTCGTATGTGTTTGAATATTATCTTTCTGAAAGTGGTAGACTTTGGCCCCGCGGCCCCAGTCCGTGTGCTGAGAGGGGGACATTTTTGCACACGAAGTTTGCAGAGGAGGCCATTTAAAAGTCGTCACGGCCATCAGTCTTATAGCTTCGCGGTAGGATTGCTCCTTTGCCCCTCTTCTGGCGTCGTGTTTTTGCTGAACTATGCAGCGTCTCCCAAAGCCTGTACCTCGGGGTTTCTGAAGTCAGCTGTGCCTCGTTCCAGCCTGTGCATGTCCTCATTCTCACCTTCTCACCTTCCCGCTGCCGCCCAGAAGGTAACGGGCCGAGCCCACCTGTGACTGCTGCTGTCCACAGCTCTAGCAGAAAGGTCAGGACGCTGTTGATTCATCTGTAGAATTTGGTTTGAATTCCCTGAGGACTGTAAAGACTCAGGCCTCCCCTAGCCATAACGAGCAGTTAACAGTGAGGTGCTGTGAGCCTTCGTACCGCACCGCGAGACGGCCGTGTGGATGCCTTTACTATTTGTGGAGAGTCTGGAGCATTCAGGTGACTTGTCCAGGCCACGATGCGGTGGGCAGAACTGGATGGAAGTGACGGGAATGCTCCGGATTCAGACTGCTTGCTTGTTAAGGTCCCTGGTTTCTAAGATAACCAAACACTTTCTTCAGGCCCTTAAAAGCAAAATACGTGTTTTCACTGATGAGGCTTTTACTTTTCGGCATTTCACAATTCTTTGAACTTAAAGATATTCTCATGGTCACAGATCTTAAAGCCCAGAGCAGTTGCTGGAAACCTCCCTGTTCTGTGGAGTACTAACTGAGAATGCAGGGTTTGGCCAGGTTTCTTTTGCATTTAAAGGACCTTCATGATTCACTCATAACCTTTTCTGTGTAAGTGCTTAAGTGACCCCCCACTAGTGAAGATAAATACCCTGAATCACTGATGAGGATGTACTCTCTACATGACCTGGTTTTTTAAGGATGGTAACTCCAAGTGTTCAGGGGAGGGGTATTACCCTGGGGCAAAGCACACATGAAGCAGTTTATTTCTGCTCTGCCAATCTGGCACTTACGGGAACACTCCTCTTCGGAGTGGCTGGTTATGGTTTTGCCTTCTTTTGGTACCGAAGTAGCTTTCTGTGGCTTTGTATTTCCACCTGTCAGTTTGTAAGAGTTTCATGTTGGCTCTGTCTTGGCAGTCAGCTGTGGTCCGTGGGCGCCGTGGCGCTCTGGTTCGGTCTGGGTCTGCCTGGGACGCATTCCTGGCATGGTCAGACTGCCTCCCAGCGGCCAGCACTGCCCGGCAGCACGTCGCCCCTCCAGGATATCAGCTCTGGGTCCAGAAGCAAAACTGCTTTGCTCTTATTGTTACGGTGCATTAGTTAGCACAGCTGTTCTGAATTAGAGATCAGCGTGGGGGCACCAAGGGAGACGTTAGAACCCTTCCTTTAATGGCATGACAAACTTTTAAAACTGCTCTTGCTGTTTCATTAGAACCTATCTTTGGTAAGGGTATCACTAAGGAAATGCTGTCAAACCTGTAGGAGATCAGGCTGTTGCCTGCAGTTTCCTCCAAGCGTCACCACAGGGTTTGAGATCTGTGTGCGTGATTTGGGCGAAGTGCCGGTCACCGCTTCGGAGGCTATGTTCTGGGGCTTCCAAGTGAAAAGTGTGTTATGGGATGAAAACCCTCAACTGTGAATTGTGGAATTAAAATTGCTGTTTGATTTTATTTTCTCCAGCATATTGAATATAGAAATCTGAAAGTTATTTAAAATTCATACTGCTTATGTTGATGGTTCTTTTTGGCTGTGTATCCTCATGTACTGATTTCTGATAAAAGCTCGATGTTATTATAACAGGCATTTTGTGTTTAATTTAATAAAACCGTTTCTGAGTCTTGTCTGAAGACTGTTTGATTGTGAGCAGAGCCCGAGGGACGGCCGTGCGCTGACCTGGCCAGCACTTCCACATGATGGCCAGTTACTGGCTTCCGGTCCATTAGGCCACATCGGTGCCATGTCGGCACCTCGGGCTTCTCGAGCCCACAGGAGTGCCGCCAGCTTTCATGTGCAGAGAACTGACCCCTGCTGCCTGTCCCCCGCACCCGGGTTAGCTTGGACTGGAGTGAGTGCTCAGCTGCATGGGAGTGTTTCATCCTGCAAATTCTGAGGGAAAGCGGCGTCAGGACCGTAACCCTGCCTCTGGTAATAAACACAGATTACAAAACACATCTCCATCAATCTTTGGAAGTCTCATGTATGAAATACTCACGCAAACACGGTCAGCTCCCACATGCAGCGTATTCCTGAGATGTGGTCCTTCCGGCTCTGACTTACTGTAGACTGCATTTGAATTCAAGTGCTGTTTGAAAAAGCAGATTACAGGCTGTAAAATGCCATCGTGTTCTGTTTAATCGAGATGCAAGACACGTACTCTCACGGTCGTGGGAAAATTCTTGTGTCGGCACAAAAAAATGTTTCTGAATGAAGCGAATAGATCGCGCTGAGTTTGTGTTGTCAAATACTCAGGGCACCCGCATGTTTTATTAAATCATCTCCAAGAGAGTTTTAGCTTAAAAGAAACCCTTGATAATGGACATCAAAAACTTAAGCCACTAGAGATTTTCAGCTTTTCTTCCTTTAGACTTTTCTAAGGCTTATTCATAGGTTGAAAATCTATTCAGAATCGAATGCTGGCTTTCAGTTGTCCTGTAAGATTTTTTTCATGTCGAAAGCTACCAAGGAGCTTTCCTAATCTATTATAAATTGTAGAAGATTGTAAAGAGATCAGAAATGGATCTTTCTGTGATTAATATTAACACTTGTCACCTGAGTTAAGGCTCAACCTGCCAAGTTTTACCCCATTTGTAGGGCGCTCCTTAACTGTTGAAATGGGACTCACAAAGAGAAGAGCAGTAAAGGACGTGAAATATGAATAGTAAGGATGCGATGTTATGTACTTACAAAATCCCATAAGGTATGTCTTACCCTATATACGTGACTGTGCGCAGGGCATGTGCGTCTGTGAACTGTGTGTGTGCCCATGTGCACACGTATGCTCACTTGCCCTTTGAACAGCACAGGTTTGGGTCTCATGGGTGCACTCATACAGGGGCTTGTTTCAGTACACACGTCGAAAGTGTAAGTGTAGTATATAGTACATCATACATGCAGCGTATAGTATACATACAGCACATGGTATATATAGCACATGGCATATATAGCACACAGTATAGCATATGGTATATATAGCATATGGTGTATATATATATATTGTGTATATATAGCATGTGGTGTATATGCAGCATGTGGTGTAGATATAGCATGTGGTGTATACATAGATGTGTATATATAGCATGTGGTGTATATATAGCATGTGGTGTATATATAGCATGTGTATACATAGCATGTGGTGTGTATATAGATGTGGTGTATACATAGATGTGGTATATACATAGATGTGTATACGTAGATGTGTATATATAGCATGTGGTGCATATATAGCATGTGGTGTATACATAGCATGTGGTATATATATAGATGTGGTGTATACATAGCATGTGGTGTATATATAGCATGTGGTGTATATATAGCATGTGTATACATAGCATGTGGTGTATATATAGATGTGGTGTATACATAGCATGTGGTGTATACATAGCATGTGTATACACAGATGTGGTGTGTACATAGATGTGTGTATATAGCATGTGTGTATATATAGCATGTGTGTATATAGCATGTAGTACTGTAAGTACTTTCTTCCTCATGACCTTCTCTTTTGTGTATAAACCAGGATGTGCATTTGTCAGAGATGAGGAGAGAGGGGGAAGATGAAAGAGCCCCAGTGAGAAATGGTCATGTCACAATCCTCCATCCGGTCCCTTCATCACTTGGGGCACACACACATGCCTGGCATGTTTTCCAGGTCACAGAGTCGGGGTCTCACACCACGTGGTTGGTCATGTGGGGTCCTCAACCACTAGACCGTGGGACTTGCTCCTATGACTTTTTAGGGCCGTTTTTGCTGTAGGGCATGTGTGCTCACTGAGGAGACAGAGACAGAAGGATGAGGAGAAGTCACCCCCCAGGGATGGCCATGCTGCAGTCCCTTCTCCATTCTCGGTCGGGGTCTTGGACACGTATACATACATGCCTGGCACGAGTTTTAGCCACTAGATCTGGGACTTGAACCGCGGCAGACTGTGCGGGAGTCCAGTGACTAACCATCATGCCATCTGCTGGTCCGCATGACTTTCTTAATAACTTTCTTTATTCCCGCTCGCTTTATTTGTGGAAATGAGTTGTCTGCGCCAGGCAATGGCTACCCGGTGGGAGGTCCTGGCTTTGCTCTGAAGCTCCCGGAGCACGTAGGGCCCGTGTGCTCTGACCCAGCTCAGCCGACACCGGGGACCATGTGAGTGCCCCTTGGGGTGCCTCTCATGGAAAAATAAAGCCTTTGACAAGAATGCGGACGTGCTTAGGAGTGTAGGATGTCAAGTCTGGTCACCTGGACCTCTCAGGAAGCTCTGGGGGACCCGAAGCTGTCAGAGTTCTGACCCGGATTCGGTACCCCTAAACCTGGGTGTTCAAGGGTCAACTGTGTTCGCGCCCCCGTTCGGAGGGGGCGATGCGCCTGGGCAGGCGTCTGCGGGAGCGGCCGAAAGGTCGCGCCACGGGGCGTCCCCGGAGCAGAGGGTGCTGGCGGCGCAGAGAGCCCCGGGCAGCGTGCACGTCCCGCGGGGCCAGCCTGAGTGCGCTGGAGACTCCTCGGGGTCGTGCGGCCGCCCGGTCCTGCGGGCGGAGCAGGCGTCTCCCCCGGGGCTGCGTCCACGGGGCCGGCGCACCTGCTGCCCGGTCCGGCGGGAGCGGGTCGTGGACTCCGCCATAGGCAGCTGGCGCCACCTGGTGGGCGCTCTCCACGTTACATCGGCAGGGGTGGCGCCAGCTCAGGTGACAGGCGCCTCCCGGGGACGCTGGCTTTTCACCCTGGAGACAGACGTCCTCTGAAGACTGTTTTTATTTTTTAAACTTAAAAAAAAAATAACTAAGGCAACTACATTATGACGGAGTGAAGAAGCGGTGAAGGAGGACTCGGAACACGTCTGCCGGCTTGGGGAAGTTCATGCGCGGTGCGTGCTGCGAAGCTGCCAGACCTCCACACTGCACAGAGACTTGTGCTTTCTGTGTCCCACAGACTTTTTAGATCCCCCCGTGTATGCACATGTGTGTGGATGGGTAACTTCTTTGCGATGCTTTAAAAATGTCTATTTTGCTTAAAAGATCTGTTACCTATACACTTTCAGGTATGTGAAGACAATAAACACAGAAATGAAATAATGGTCAGTGAAAGTCCTAATCCAGAAGTAGTAAAGGACAAAAACCAAAACCAAACAAACAAAACAAAATAAACACAACCCACTTTAATTACAGAAGGATTTGAAAATTAAAAATAAAAGTATAGACACAGATGAATATTACCAAGTACCTGGAAATCACGCTGACAATATAAAAACGAAATTAAAGTATATGAAAAATTTCCTAAATGTAATTTATTTTGGGAAAGAAAACACGGTATTTTTTGCTTCCATAGCTAGCAATCCAGGAGACATTTATCAAGTCTTTAGTGGGATACCTCGAACCTCGGAACGTAAACCCGGCACAGCGGGCCAGCCCGTCTGTCACCTGTGTGCTCTGGCGACAGGACCGGGAGGAGGGGGAAGCCAGCTGTTTCTTTCTGACTGCCTCTCAGTGCGAGGGCTGAATTGAATTGTCGAGCAGACCAGTTCTCAGCTCGGCCCTGAACTGTGGCTCTGTCCCTTTGCCCAGAGGTAGTCGCCGTTGGGTGGTCTTGGGGATTTCCAGACGTACTCCATGACACGGACGTGCTGCATGTCCTCCAGTCCACCTGGCTCCGTGGGTGACCGGTACCCTTCGCCTATTAGACTAGCACATGGGTGTCTCATTATTTTATTTTAATTTTTGGTTTATTTTTGCCATAGGGCACATGCGCTTGCCAGAGAGAGACAGAGACAGTGAGAGGGAAAGTGAGAAGTCATTCCCTGTGGGGGATGGTCCCTTCAGTCCCTTCCCATTCTCCCGGGATTCCAGGCATGCACACACATGTACCCAGCATGATTTTCAAGCCACCAGGTGTGGGATTTGTGGGACTCCAGTGCCTCCTGCTGGCCCGTCTCGTTCTTTCTGATTGTGGTGTTCCCTGTTAGGATCTCCCCAGTTCCTGGTACTGACCCTGTGCTGACAGACTCGTAGGTCAGAATGGATTAAAAACACAGAAGGTGCTAAAATACATATGACGTAAAGCTGGCCACTCGGGGGCGCGGAGCTGTGCTGTTAAGAATAATCCCTTTGCTCTGGAGCTCCTCTTGGCTTCCCAGGACCACCTAGGAGCACGTGGCAGGGTTAGGAACTGTCCGCAGGGTCACCTTCTAGCTCACGCTCTTTTCCCTCGGAGCCCTGCTTGGTTCAAAGCTTGTGTCAGTCCAGAAATACACGGGACCCTGGTAAGCTCTGCTCGGGCATGCCTGTTGGTTTTCTTTGTGCGTTTTAGAACTCGTGGGTGGTTTTGTTCTCTAAGTGAATACTTTGAAGGCAGAAACGTATCTGCCATTCTTTGATAAGGGGTCCTGAATTATTAAACCTAGTAGTGCTTAATTCAGCTTTATGAAAGGGTGACTTTAATGAAGGCAGGGGAGTCTGGGGCAGGAGGACAGGGCAGGACAGGGCAGAAACACCCCCAGTCTGACCGTGAAGTTTGTGTGCTATCTGTTGTAGGGTAAGGCCTTGACGGTCACTGTCTTGTTATCTTCCCGGTGGTCCCTTATCAGACACCGCGCAGATCCAGGAATGTTAAATAATTTGCTGTAACTGTAGGAAGCTG